CAATCATGATGTCATACTGTATATGTTACTATAGAAGCTCCAATACATTCCATCCCCCCTATTCAGTAGTTGCAGCACCTCTTAGAAACCAATCAGAATGGTAAAGTAACAAATAAAGGAGAGTAGATTACCCTGCATATCCAACTGCTTAAATAAGACATCAGCCACCAAGGCTGGTCATACACTCGGTAATCGTTGGTCAGTTTAGCAAAAACAACTGAAAGCAATTGCCACTAAGATGACTGTGGACTTGTACCAATCCAACGTGCCTCCTAACTGATTAGGCCTGGTATTTTCCTTTGAGAATGGCAGCTTTCATAAAGTTTATTGAAAAGAAATTTGAAGGTTTGTTGCTATCAAATTAAACTGAGTTGCATTGGCAATATCATAGAAAGCAACCAGATTTTGCTGCCACATTCCATTGGGGTAATTCCGAGTCCTCCGAGAGGACTATCTCTATTCCTTCATTAATTTATTTTATATGGAACCTTTTTATAAAGTTGCATAACATATCTTTATTGTATACTTCCATTTGTTTTACCTATTTTTGAACAGTCTCAAGCACCTGGTTAAAACAATCAAATCATCCATCTTGGGGAACATAAGGTGTAAAGCCAGCCATAGACAGATCAAATCTTGTTCAGCAGGGACCGGCTCAGATTTGATCCATCTATGGGTAGACTGGTTTTACAGAAGTTGATCCATCAATTGACTTCAGTACAACCAACATGTCAGGTCTTTTGCTTGCGATCACTACCAGTGGCTATAGCCACCAGCAGAGCTCATTGTGTTCTGCCGGCAGGGAAGGCTCCCCACCGGTAGAACACAATACAGCTGTGGGAGGGATTGCCCTGTCAACATTGACTGTATTGATGGGGAAATCAAGCAATTTTTTTCCTTCCACCTGTGGTGGAAGGTAAGAAAATTTTTATCATCTATTGCTTGCTTAAGTAAAGCCCAGGGGCAGACTGACCATTTTGGAGCTCGGCAATGCCCGAGGGCCCAGGGTCAGTAAGGGGCCCCATGAGATGCCCTTAGTACCTTTCATAGGCTTTTTTGGGTGTGGTTTGAGTATGGGTAAGGACACAGAGGCCCCATGATCCCCTATTGCCCGGGGGCCCCATGAGTTGTCAGTCCGACCCTGATAAAGCCAAAACTTTTTTTTGTTTTGGATAAGGTGGCTCTCTGTGTCCCCACTGGAGGGATTTATCATTTGTATTTGAGCTTGAGACAGAGACTTGTCACTGAGACAGAAAGAGAAGGGAAGTCCTCCAATGTTGACATTTCCTGTTGCAGAACATGAAGAGAAATCTATCTCCTATATTGTAAGCTCCCAGGATCAGGCCCTCCTATCCCTCTTGTATTGAACTGTTTTGTTGCTGTATTGTCTCCCGTTATATTGTAAAGCGCTGAGCAAACTGTTGGCGCTATATAAATCCTGTATAATAATAATATATAAATCCTGTATAATAATAATCTAATGTGACACAGATAACAAAAGATAAACTTATAAGGTTTGTAACCCTTACCCACTCTATCCAAAGAAAAGAAAAAAGGTTCTGATTATCCATACATTTTAATGCTGGCAAATGCCTTGGTTACATTTTTGCTAGTTTAGTTCACCTTTGTTGTTTGTTGTTGTATATTCAGTTCATTGGTAAGCACCTTTAAAAGAAAAAAAACCCTGTGATTCTGGTGATAGAACTAAACTCATAGGAGCACAACAACTCTTCAGAAAAGATCGCTAAAGAAGTCCATACACTAGTACAGTTTTCTCCAAACTGCGGTCCGTGGGCTGAATGTGGCCCTTTGCTTGCCTCTATCCGGCCCTCGGGGTACTATTCCTCCTACTGACACCAACAAGGAGGCACTATTTCTTACACTGGCACAAACAGAGGGGAACCATTCCTCTCACTGACACCAACAATGGGGCATTTTTCCTTGCAATGACACCAATGATGGGGCACAATTCCTCCCACTGACACCAGTGATGGGGCACTATTCCTCCCACTGATACCAACGATGAGGCACTATTCCTCCCACTGACACCAGTGATGGGGCACTATTCTTCCCACTGATACCAACGATGAGGCACTATTCCTCCCACTGACACCAATGATGGGGCACTATTCCTCCCACAGACACCAATGATGGGGCATTATTCCTCCCACTGACACCGATGATGGGGCACTATTCCTTCCACTGATACCAATGATGGGGTACTATTCCTCCCACTGATACCAATGATGGGGCACTATTCCTCCCACTGATACCGATGATGGTGCACTATTCCTCCCACTGACACCGATGATGGGGCACTATTCCTCCCACTGACACCGATGATGGGGCACTATTCCTCCCACTGATACCAATGATGAGGCACTACTCTTCCCACAGACACCAGTGATCCAGTGATGGGGCATTATTCCTCCCACTAATACCAGTGATGGGGCACTATTCCTCCCACTGACACCAGTGATGGGGCACTATTCTTCCCACTGACACCAGTGATGGGGCACTATTCTTCCCACTGATACCAACGATGAGGCACTATTCCTCCCACAGACACCAATGATGGGGCATTATTCCTCCCACTGACACCGATGATGGGGCACTATTCCTCCCACTGATACCAATGATGGGGTACTATTCCTCCCACTGATACCAATGATGGGGCACTATTCCTCCCACTGACACCGATGATGGGGCACTATTCCTCCCACTGACACCGATGATGGGGCACTATTCCTCCCACTGATACCAATGATGAGGCACTACTCTTCCCACAGACACCAGTGATCCAGTGATGGGGCATTATTCCTCCCACTAATACCAGTGATGGAGCACTATTCCTCCCTGATATCAATGATTGGACACTGTTCTCCTTCCACTTACTACAAGCACTATGTAATTTTTTTTTTTTTACTCCCGCTTTCTCTGGGACATTTTCTAATCCCACTGGCCACTCCGGCCCCCCTAAAGTTTGAAGGACAGTAAGCTGGCCCTTTGTTTAGAAAGTTTGGAGACCCCTACACTAGTAGACTGTCGAATGAACATTCAGATGAAAATTTTTACGAAAATTATCAGTACATACTCAGGTGATGATTTGATAAATGTAGTCTGAAAGTACTTCAAAGCTTGGTTTGCTTTTAAAGCAGAATTTCACCCTTAATGGGAAGTTCCACTTTATGTCCTCCTCCCCCATATCTTCTTTCTGAACTTTTTTGGGGGGGCAGGTACCTAGCTTTGGTTCTCCCACTTTTGGCTGGATTGCCTAGGGCAGTGGTCGGCAAGCCGCGGCTCGCGAGCCACATGCGGCTCTTTACAAAGTTAAATGCGGCTCTTCTGTGTGCCGGGCGCCCGCTCCCCTCCCCTCCTCTCGGGCGGCCGGCCGGCCGCTCCCCTCCCTCCTCTCGGGCGGCCGCCCCCCCCCTCCCTCCTCTCGGGCGGCCGCCCCAAAAGTCTGGACTCTGCAGCTGTCAGGATGTAGGCGGGGCAGCCAGGATGTAGGCGGGGCAGCGTGACGAACTCCTCTCCTCTCACAGTCCGCCCTGAAGACCAGAACGGCGCGGGAACACAGCGAGAGGAACGTGCGGAGCAAAGGTAAGTGAATTGACACAATATGGGGAATGAATTACTATAGGGGGGATGAATTACTATAGGGGGGATGAATTACTATGGGGGATGAATTACTATGGGGGATGAATTACTATAGGGGGGATGAATTACTATGGGGGATGAATTACTATATGGGGGATAAATTACTATATGGGGGATGAATTACTATATTGGGGATGAATTACTATGGGGGATGAATTACTATATGGGGGATGAATTACTATGGGGGATGAATTACTATATGGGGGATGAATTACTATGGGGGATGAATTACTATATGGGGGATGAATTACTATATGGGGGATGTATTACTATGGGGGATGAATTACTATATGGGGGATGTATTACTATGGGGGATGAATTACTATGGGGAATGAATTACTATATGGGGGATGAATTACTATATGGGGGATGAATTACTATGGGGGATGAATTACTATATGGGGGATGTATTTTCAGTTTTAAAAATGTGGCTCTCAAAATAAATTTCAATCGTGGTTTTGGCGAGATTTGGCTCAGTTGAAAAAAAAGGTTGCCCACCACTGGCCTAGGGGATTCCAGCGGAAGTTTAGCACTCCCCTTTCGTAAAGTAGCCTTCTGGGACACCACACAGGTCCCAGCAGACTGCAGGACCATTCACACAGCACGGCTTGTGTATGAGCAGTGGGAAGCCATCTATGAAGCTGCATGGAGTCACAACCGGCTTCCCACACTTTCGGAACCTGAGGACTGGTGACGGACTGCCTCAGGTGAGGACAGCGCTGGATCCCTGGACAGGTAACTGTCCTTTTTTAAAAGTTAGCAGCTGCAGTATTTCAAACAGAGTGAAGAACCTCTTTAACATTCCATTTTGGAGTGAATGGACTTTCCTGAACAAAAATGGAATACACTATTAGAAATTCATTTGTTCAAGAAAGATTTAGCATCTTGCTCCTTTGAATTTTCTTGGTCGAAAATGAACATTGGTTGGACCCCACAAAATTACAAAATCAAGCAAACTTTCTTAAAATGAAAAATTACAAACCAAATTAAACTAGTGTATGGTCAGGCTAAGCATACCCAATGTTGGATAACAGGCAGTATATAGAACCTAGACTAGTCATAATGTGATCAGGTGTTCATGGGACACTCATCTGACCTATTGTGCTTCTTCTCAGGTGACCTGTGTGCCCATGTGTCCTACTGATGACAAAAGTGTACTTCTGGACTGCCCACATGCTACAATGGATGAAGATGGTGGCCCTGCAGAGAGAAAATCTGATGTGACAATCAATACACCGGTTGCTCCTCGTCCATGTGGCTCTCCATCTTCTCCTTCTGATCCTGCCACAGATGAAAAACGATCAGCTGATGGATTGCCTGCCCATGTGCCTGTCATTAGCTTAGGACATAGCCGGGTGGCACTGCGCCCAGAGCTCACAACTTTACGCCCCGTTCCCCCTCTAATGCTGACACTTCCAGGGATAAGGACACCAATATTTTCTCCACAGTTTCATACTCACCCTTATCTATCCAGGTAAGATCTAAACCTAGAAGACTATAAACCTAATTGTAATGTGTGTCATTCAATAAGGTTGTTGTTGCCTTTTCCAAGGTATCCCAGTGGTAATCAAATATATATACATATATAAAATACAGTTATAAATATGTGCCGGAATACCTCATTCTGTTGGCAGGGCCTGATTTTCATAACCTCTAGGCACAAAACATTTGGTGCCCTTTTTAACATTCCTCTGCTAAAGTTGGAGAATGGTGGACGGGGTTGAGGGGGGGGGGGGGCTACAGGGAGGACCTGGCTGGGGGGTGCAAAATCTGACTTTTCGTAAACGTAATAGCTGTAAATCCCCTCTAGGTAATTGATGGTAGTCCAGGAAACTTTGCTGGGTATCGTTCAGGTAAGTCGCCATCTTCTCCAGTATCATAGTGCCCAGTATTCTCTGTTTAGCTTCTTGGAAGTACACAATCAGTTGTTTCCAATCTTTTGGGCCATTGTTTGTTTAGTAGCCAGGAATATGTAGGTTACAAGCTTTCATTCTTGTTTGATCTACCTACTAGTAATTTTCTGACTTTAGATGCAAATAACCTTATAAAAATAACTATTTGTAATAATGGGAAAAATTGTTGCCAATAAATATACAGGGAAATGCCACCTCATTGACTCTGCCACCTATAGGCTAAAGCTGGCCATGGACGGTTATCTTTTCATTCAGCCAGTGGGCTGAATGGCAAACAACTAACTACATCTACACAAAGGAGGTGGATGGAGATATGCCCCTCGCTGGGACCCGCCAATGTCAAAATACACTGATCTATGGCTACAGTGAAATGATTTCGATCAATAAAAATTTTACAGCATGTCCCCTTTGACAGAAGTTAATAAAAAGTCATCTATTGAGCAGGGACGACTATTGAAATTCAGCCAGTCTCTGCTGAGCTGGCCAAATTTCAATCAGTATATGGCCAGCATCACTGTGCCTAATGGTAAATCTGGACCTGGCAGTAAGTGTCAGTGCTGAATATGGGTGATTAAAATGTACTTGTGCAACATTGTGGTCCTGACAATTTGTGCAAAAATATACTGTATAGTGATTAAACACAACCAGGACAATCTTCAGAAGCCGGTAAACAATGAGTTATTTAGTTGATCTTTGTCTTAGCAAGAACCTTTTGGGTGTACCAATTTCTTCTCTTGACTTCTATTTTTACTTATTTGACTGTAACTTTTTTTTATTTTTAATTTTTCACACTGTTCATATAGAAAACACCATTTGATTGGGTGGCCTGGAACTTCTTAGGCTATATTTTGAGGAGGGTGGGGAAAATCATAATAATTATGGCTTTATATTCTAACCTGAATAAAGTATTCTTGCCCCTTCACAATCACTAACACCCTGTGCCAGGGGGGACCTCTAACCCTCTTACTTTTTTCCTACATCGGAACCATTTCCAGAGATAGTTAGAATGCATTTTTCGGAGTAAATGGGGGTTCCACTGAATATAATATAATAGCAGCCTCTAAACCACTTTTTTTAAGCAATACAACTATAAATTATGATACCCAGCGTTTTACAGCTCTTTAAACCATTGGGGACACTAGTGCTGGGCACCCAGGGTACATCTCTTGCATCGTGCCCTAAATCCATGACACTGTGGCTGCAAGCAATATGGGGGGGGGGGGGGAGATGTGTACTGGAGTGGTTGAAGGGAGAGAGATGTGTATTGGAAGGGAGGGGGGAGAGATGAGTACTGGGGGGGGGGTTTGAAGAGAGGAGAGATGTAAATTGGAAGGGAGGGGATAGAGACGGGTCCTGAAGGAGAGGGGGGAGAGATGTAAACTGGGGAATGAGATGTCTACTGGGGGATTGGAGAAGGAGATTTGTGCACTGGGGAGGAGGGGGAGAGAAACATGTGTAATGGAGAGGGAAGAAATGTATACTGGGTGGGGAAGAAATGTGTAATGTGGGAGAGATTTATGCTCAGGGGAGATTTGACCCAGGCACTCCCTGAAATGCACGCTTGCCTGTACAATATGTACCCTCGACTCCTGTACTCTGTATATTATATGTTCTTGACCCCAGACACACCAATACGTACTTCTGATCCATGCATTCTGTGCATTGATGACACTGGTGTGGGGTACCCAGGACATGTGCCCCGCATCTCTTGCGCCGTGCCATAAGTCTATGACACTGTGGCTGCAAACTATTTTATTTATTGCAAACTTCCACCTAATTGCATTGTGTTCAGTGACAGACCTCAGATACTGCGGCAGGCTTGTAGCTTAGAGCCAAGGAAGAAAGACTCCTCTCTGGGTTTAATGTGTTGCATGACACAGCCAAGGGAAGGACATCCCCTCACTCTAAGCTGCCACAGTAGCTGAAGTCTGGAATACTGAGACCATAGGATAGTGCAGGTATGCACTAATATATTGGAAAAAATAAGTTGTATTGAGGGGTTGGAGGAGGCAGAGATGTGTACTAGAGGGGTTACTGGGGGAGGGGGGGAGATGTGTACTGGGGGATTGGAGGGAGATGAAATCTGTTTTGGGGAGTTGAAGGGGTAGAGATGTGTATTTAAGGGGAGGGGGGAGAAATGTGTACTGGAGGTTGAAGGAAGAGAGATGTGCATTGGACGGAAGAAGGGAAAGATGTGTACTGGGGTGGGGAAGAGATATATGCTGGGGGAGAGATTTATGCTCAGGGAAGGGGGAGATTTGACCCCAGCACTTCGTGTAATGCATGCTGGCCTGTACATTATGTACCCTCGACTCGTCCACTCTGCGCATTATGTGCTCCTGACCCCTGAAAACTATTATGTACTTCTGATCCATGCATTTTGTGCATTATGGACTCTTGTTCCCTGTACTCTGTGCATTATGTACTCCTAGCTCCTGCAACCTGTGTGTTACACACACCTGTGTTCTGTGCAGTTCACACCTCTGTTCCCTGCACTTTGTATGTTATACACCCCTGACCTCTGTAGTGTGTTACATACCTCTGACCCTGCACTCTGTGCCCTTACCCCTGACCCCTGCACTCTACTATATTGTACATTACATACTCTTGAACAAAGTGTTTATTGTCTTAATAGATGCTGGTTGCCAAGTAGTCACCAGATAATTTAATGAAGTTATTTTTAGGGCAGGCTTTGTGTAGAATAGAATCTGTAATGGAAGTGTTTCATTTTTTAAAATGGATTGTGCTAATGTTTATGTGTGTCTGTGAGACTGTTGCTTGTTGCATAGTTATTAAAAGCATATTTTGTGGCTAAAAGGACTGTGGCATTTGTGTGTTCTGTATACATCGAGTATACTCAGGTTCAATTTACCCATACAAAGAAAAGCCCAGGGTTTACAGTCCTACATTAGAGACGGAACTCATCTCATACAACTACTCACACCATATAACTGGAATTCCACCTACTGTTGGGCCTCGCTACATGTCAGCTCACTCTATACATCAGACGTGTCAAACTGTCGGCCCTCCAGCTGTTGCAAAACTACAAGTCCCATCATACCTCTGCCTTGGGAATTATGCTTGTAACTGTCAATCTTGCAATGTCTCATGGGACTTGTAGTTTGGCAACAGCTGGAGGGCCATCAGTTTGACACCCATGCTATACATCTATCCCACACCATCTGGGAATTATGGCCCTACAACACTTCTTATCAGGTGATCCCCTTATCAACCGCAAACAAGCTGACTGTATACTTGAGGCCACTAACTTTTGCTTAACACATAATTATTTCAATTTTGATGGGGATTTTTTCCTCCAAGTACAAGACACAGTGATGGATGCTAACTTTGCACACTCCTATACCAACCTGGCCAAGGGTTATTGGGAGCACCTATATATTTGGCAAAACAACCCATTCACAGCACACCTCACATTCTTTGGCAGATACATAGATGACATTATCGTCATTTGGGATGGATCTCCATTCCTCATTGACGATTCTGTCACACACTGCAATAATAATCTTTTTGGTTTACACTTTACATCTGAAAAAAAACCCCCAGACCGTCTTGCCTTTTTAGATCTAGAACTGAGCCACGAGAATGGCCAGATCATAGCCAAAAATTACACTAAACCAACCTCAGGTAACTCTTTTTTACATCATCAGAGCTGTCACTACCCCACCTAGATAAACAACATTCTAAAAAGTAAATTTTGCATATTTTGTATGTATATAACGTTTTAAAAAAATTGTTTCTTTATCCATCAATATATTATTGTAACGCTACACCTGTTGTTAATAATAGTCCACCATATTTTCATCACCTTCCCACCTTGCTTCTATTATTGTTCATCCGTCAATCTTAGTCTACTCCATATGTCCTCCTGTTTTTACTGTATATTGCCACCAACAAGACGTATGGTTATCCCCTTTTTAGTTTTATATATTATAATGACTTTATCATTTTTTCATTCCTCTGTCTATAGTAGAATATCTCATATATAGAAATATATATATATATATTCCCTTTTTCTGTTTTTCAAATTACCTTTTATGAGTCATTCTTAATATTGGTGTTTCCTATTACTGTTTATATTTTTGTGCCACATGATGATCCTTTATTGTTATTTTTTATTTATTTATTTATCCATGATCTATTTTGCTTTTTTAATTTCCCCTTGTGATCTGTTACCATCGGTTCCATTATATTCCACTGGATAGACACCGTTCTGTTGTCTTATCACATGCCCCTCCTTTCCGTCCCCCAGCCCTGTCCATCATCCCCTGTTGCTCTATTTCAGGGCTCTCCTTCCCCTTCCCTGTTCCTATGCTTCACCTATGCCTGATGAAAGAGTGCGCCGGTCCACGCTAGTTCCCGCGCATGCTCAGAAACGCGTTGCAACCCGATGACGTCAGACGCCCAATGCCACCAGCTCCAGACTCACTAGAGACCAGCGAGGCTGCACCATCTATACCTTACCTCTTGCAGCACTTCCTGCTGTCCGACCGGGACCCTCTTCTCCAGAGCGGTCTTTACAACTGGCGACTGACACACTCTA